GGATTACATCGAGCATCATCACTCTGCAGAGTGTCGAGCTCTGACGCAGGTTCATGCTCAGTTACTCTCCAGCTGAGTGACCATCTTGTCTTCGTTATGTGTTTGGTAACTGAGGGATCAACATGATAGATGTTTTTATCTAAATCTATCTCTACAGATCAGAGATAGATATGAGAAAGATATCGGCCGATGATATTGGCTCGTGATCCACAAGAGGACGTGAAGCCGTCAGCCGGAGCTGCCTTTCAACATGTTGTAATTAACGAGATAATCTCACAGTGATCACTGTGAAAACACCAGGGAACACAATGCTACATTATGAATTCTGTGGTACTGTTTTTTATTTTAAAGCGGCCTGAGTATGCTGGTGGAGCGTGCAATCAGAGTTATGATGTCGAGCCCTGTAGTATGAGTACCAAAGAAAAGAATGTCAGAATAACTATCTGTGGATTATAAATGTTCATGCATTAACGTGTTCATCTCTGGTGATGGTGGAGCTGGTGGGTCATAGAAACACATCATCAACACTTTCATCCCTGGTCAATACAAAGACTATGTGATGTCACAAAAAAAACCACAACGTTAGGCCGGTTATTCAGGGTGACACTAACATACGAGTTCATTCAGGCTTTTCTGGTCATCTCTGGAGTCTTTCTATACTTAGATCATCATGAGTTTGGGAGATACAGAGGATTATAAGATTTATCTCTTCTCCCTTTGACTGCTGCAGCGGGGGCCTGTTTGTTTTCAACAGAGAGAGAGAGAGGGAGAGAGAAGGAGAGAGAGAGAGAGAGAGAGAGAGAGAGAGGCCTCCATCACTGATGGCTTCACTGATCTCCGAGTTGTGCAGGTTATCTCTGTGAACTTTTCACTGTTGAATAAACGTCATGAATGAGCTGGATGTGACTCAGTCCAGACTGAAGGCTGAGCGTCACTAATAAACAACGTCTTTATCTGCTTACAAACATCTCTACCGGACTTAGTTTTCTTAAAGGGCGTCACCTCTACCTCTGAAGGGAGCTCTAATCACTCATGTCTCCTTCATGTAAGGGTCTTTTTCTTCTTCTTTGAGAAGCTCTAACAATGTTCTGAATTCATTCAAAAAGCAGAATCCTCTGCATCTGGTCACAATCGTGTTTCAAGCATGTGTTTGAAACCTGTTTAGTCATGTCCCAGAAACGTTGATCATCAGTTTAAGCAGACAGTAATTAAAACACAATATTCAATCAATGCTATGGTCGTCATGGTTTCCATACTTTCAAAGTAACTTTCCCAGAGAAGCATTTCTTTGAGAGGCGTTCTGGACGTGCACATTAAAAACCTCAATATGTGGTTAATGTGGAGCTGTGGAGGTTAAGGTGACGCCTTCATGAGGGTTTAAATGAAACTCTAGTTGAAGCTGAGTCAGGAAGACTTTAAATCTTCACCGTCCTGTCATCTATCTTTCATTCATCCCTCTCTCGCTGCTCTCTCACATTTCCACTCTCATTCTCCAGCTGTCATTCTATGAGGCTGTTTTTGGTTAAGTCTCTTCAGCTGTATTCATCTAACCAATCACATGGCCTTCCTCCCTCACTGTCAGCCTGTTTCTCTTTTAAATGTGATTCTTTCTCTGCTTTAAGTTCCTTCATGCTGATGTTTTGTGCACCCCTCTACCTCCCCATCACCGCCCGTCTTCACAGAATCATCATCCATCAAATCTTCACCCATCCAGTCTCAACAAGTCCTCAGCTTCACCAAATCATTTAAAGGTAGCCTAGCGATCATGTAGAGAGGCTAATGTCCAGTGGCCGAGGGTTCAAATCTGATCTTTGCCCTTTGCTACATGTCCTCCCACAATCCAACACTTCCTGTTTCTTCTCGTCAGCTGTCCTTTCCAATAAAGGTCCGTCACAGAACCCCCCCCCCCCCTGGACCTGTTCTGATTAGTTCAGGATTAGAGACAGTGAAGGTGAGGGTCAGGACCACCCGGTGGGGGGGTCTCTGTGTCCTCAGGGCCTTTCAGCTTAACAAACAGAGTCTCCTATTGTAAGGAGATAGAGAGAGGGACAAACAATACATCCTGGTACTCTCAGGCACAGTGTGGCTCAGTGTCAGAGTGTTTACAGGAACACCACTGGAGCTCATTATTCCTCCTGCTGTAAGGCCAGAGCAGAACAGATGAAATGTGTCTTTATAAATGTACATTTGATGACACTGCTCGTGCTGCCTGGTGGAGGGAGAGGAAAACCCCTAACTCAAGAAATAACTGATCATTAAGATCAATCATCATAGATGAAGGTTCAGGACCCGTCAGGCGGCTCTGAGGTCACAGCTGAGTCACTGAGGAATGTATATGACCGCTGACTCGTAATAACCCTGATTGGAAGCAGGACATTTCAGAGACACTGCTGTGCATGCTGGGAAAACCCCCAGAAACCTACAAAGTATAAATCAGTGGATATCTGTGAGGGGTCTGGACGAGCAGCGGGGCTTTAAATTCCAGAGGACGATGAGGGGTTTCCGAGCATTTACCTTCTCACTCCACAGGATCCAGCAGGGCTGAAGCCCCGGGGGGTTTACTGAGACCGTGTCTGTGTTTTTGTAAATAAAGTCAGCCAATATAATCCTGTTGTTTCCAGGAAGTATAGAATGAGCACGTTAAAGTGACTTCATCAATAAGTGAAGAGCGGAAAAACATAGGAACACATTAGATTCAATGTCGTGTCAGGGTGGGAATCAATACTCTGTGGCCTGGGTCAGATGTGCAGACCATGGCCTGTATAGCGTGCGTTCTCCATGTAATGAAACAGATTCTTTCTGTTTTCTGTTCACCAGGTTGTTCTTTTGGAGATCTTATGAAACTTCTCTATAGGGGACCCTGTGGTTGCTTCCACGTTGTTCTTTTTACGTCATGTCTTGCGTCCTGAGACCCCCCCCCCTACATTCCTCCCCCGAGGTTCACGTGTGAACAAGCAAGTCAGAAAAGATTTTAGAGTCAGTCTGCCTGAAATTCTCCTAAAAATTGCACGCGTGAAAACCTTCACGTGAAGTCGGGTTAGTTGATGTGTGAGAGCAGTTTGAAATATTCAGGAAAAGTCACTGCGAGCAAAGAAGGAGGGGGGGCCGTGCCGCTTATATCCTGGAGACTAGTACGTGATCAGGTACAGCGGTGTGGCCTGTGCGATGCAGTAATGACACTGCTTCTTTAGATTGTCTGTTCCACTCTTTTGTTGATACCTTGAATCTGTTGAACTCCACGTTGGATTGATATAAAGTAAAACAATCTTCACATAGTGTCGGCCTGTCCATCATTCTCCTGAGACCCCCCCCCCCCCCGTCTGACAGGGACAGTCTCCCCCTGTGAGGTGCATTTATAAACAACCAGCTCAGGAAGATTGATTGTCATTTTATTGTTAAATTGTTAAAACGACTTTGGACTTCTTCTTGGATTCTCTTTTTAGAATTTGTAATTGAGAATTTATATAATTCACATTTTATTTGAACGTTTGAAATAAAAATAAAAATAAAAATAAACCAAAATATAACGTGATGTAAGATTCAAAGTTCAGTCATTGAAAATCAAAAAAGAGGTGAAAAATCCACAAGAAAATCTTTACGTCTTTTCCCATAAGAACACATATCTAAAAACTCTCTTAAAGATGGAGCGAGAGAGGGAATGTTTTCTCAAAAGCGCTTTAACATGAGAATCAGCATTGATATAGAACAACCCTCCCCTCCCTCCTGCCACAGCAAGCAGGTCAAATCAAACACACGCACCATCCACTCTGCTCTGTGGAAACACACCAGCAGTCCAACAGAGAGTGTGATTACCAGCAAATAACAAACAGCAGCTCATTAAACCTGCACACAGTTCAAGAAATAACAAAAAGGTAAATCAGAGCAGTTTCACCCAAAAACTGGAGACTATTCACGTAGGACGTGTCCATGATGAGCAATTTATGAGAGGAAAAAGGGTGAGGAGAGAGAGAGGGTGTGTGTGTGTGTGTGTGTGTGTGTGTGTGTGTGTGTGTGTGTGTGTGTGTGTGTGTGTGTTGTGAGAGAGAGAGAGACCCACACACTGACTGACTGATGCTGATCCGCTACGACTCATTTTCTCCTTTTTTACTCTCTCTCTCTCTCTCTCTCTCACACACACACACACACACACACACACACACGCACACACCATCATGACATTAATGTTTTAAATGTGAAATAATTCACTCATTTGAGACGCAGTCCCTCAGACACCAGGACACCAAGTTGTGCACATTATGTCACAATTTGTCGTATAACCGCTGAAACGACAGAAAATCCTCCGAACATGACGGGAAATGAAACTCTTATGAAATGAGAAACGGAAAATGAGATTCTTAACACACAATTTAAAGCTGTTTTCACGCATCCAGCCTCCAAATCTTGTTTGTACAGCATCTGAGCCGCAGTTTCAGGTCTTATTTTAAACCTCCGGAGAGATGATAGTTTTTCCACACAGGCAGCCTGGATCATCACTTCAGATGTACAACTTTATCACCACACGTCTGTCATTTTGATCAAATATTTTAGATAACACTCACTGAAGTTTTCTGATCAGCAGGTCAAAACAAGAGTCAGAGAGCTCCGTAACTTCCACACATGATCGTCCTCCTGTGAGATCGGAATAATGAAGAGGGAGCCGGGGAAAACGATGCTTTAACACAGGTTAGAGTTTCCGAAATGTGAGTGAAGAAAGCATGATGTGAAGTCAAGTTTCTATAGTGCTTGAAGACACAATGTCGGCTCACTTTTACCACCAAAGAGCCAAACTCCATGCCAGGCTGCCCCCCCGTCACCGTGCCACACAGGCGGAGAATGTGTTCAATTACGCAGCTCCCACACTCCGACCAATGTAACAGCAAACCCAAATAGAAGAAATACATTTTTTAAAATGTAGATGAGACGCTGGACAGTTGTCTCTGTTGATTAATCCCCCCTAAAAGAACAGGAAAAAAAAGCCGCGCGGAGCCAGTGCCACTTACCGCTGAGAGCTGAGGATGGAGCCGAAGACGGACTGCTGCTGCGCCTGGAGTCTGTGCGCTCTCCCCCGTCCTCACCCTGCGCGCTCTCTCTGTCTCTCTCTCTCTCTCTCTCTCTCTCTCTCTACCTCTGGGCGTGCACGCCCTCCCTGCTTCACTCTGCCATCCCCCACTCACCAAATCAACAAATTGAGGAGTTGAAATGGCTTCTGATTGGTCATTACAATGCCGGCGGTGATTAAAGGGAAACACACACACGCACACACACACACACACACACACACACGCGCGCGCACACACGCACATGTCAAAAACCAGAAACATTTCAGTCAGGATCCAGCTGAGTGCGCTCTCAAAGACCATCAGGGATGAGACGTGTTGAGAGACGACGACTCTACTGAGCCACAGCCGCCCCATGAAGTTTTCTAGAAATGTTCAGGAGTGCATGTGTGAAAACAGCTACTGTGAGTGTGGCTTCACTTCACTGAATAATCATGACAAGTTAACAGATACTGATCCACACTACATGTTGAAATCAGTGGAGCCCAACAGGACCCTTTTCTCCTCAAACCTCTGTGAAAGTAAGAAACATACATCAGAAGAGGAGCTCATAAAGTCCGTCAGGCTCTTTACTTACCATCACTTATTGTGAAGTATAATTATGTGTTTCATGTTGATTTTTCAGTATGACTGCACACATGAGGTCCCACCTTTACAAAGACAGACACATGTCATTTGTAAATGACATAATGACTTTTTTGCCTTGGTATGGTACGTGTAATATGACACATTTGCAGAACTGTAAAAAGAGCGAGATGAACTGATGAAACAGTTTCATGACGATCACAGAGATCGTGCTGCTCGCTCACTGGTCAAAGCACATTAACACCATCACCACATCGTTTTCGGTTTCCAAGAGTGATCATTCTTATGACAAATATATGCAATTTCACCTTTTGTGCATGATACAAATGTTTAAAGATCATAAAGATAATCAATAAAATCAATATACAACACTGATTTTATAAAAAGAACACCCAAATGCACTAAAGATCTCCAGCCACGCTCCATGGTGCATGGTTAAATGTTTTTATGAACAGAGACTGGCAGCTTTGAAGAGAGATGTTGGAGCTGTTTGTGTGTAAAAACACGAATCAAACACTCCATCTCTGTCGTAATTCATTCTGTAATGACGTCAGACACAGAATAACTGACAGCGTTAAAAAACAAGTACTTGTTTTTTTGAGTTTTATTTTTGGGGCGTTTTATGCCTTCATTTAGAGATAGGACAGTGGGTAGAGCCAGCTCTTCCTGCTGTTTCTCTCTCTCTCTCTCTCTCTCTCTCTCTCTCTCTCTCTCTCTCTCTCATCTTTTCTGGCTCAGTTCAAGCAGTAAAAGAGCCACCATATTCCACTCCTGTGTCTAAAATACTCGATGACCTTAATGTTTGGAGTTCACAGTGGAGTGCCACTTGAGTCTGCACAGCCTCTCCAGTTATGGATCTACTGCTCTCGTTCATTTCATCTCTTTAAGAGCCGACCGTCCTTTTGTGGCCTTAATGCACATTCAGCACTCGCAGGATTCTTTCAGTTTGCTCTTGATAGGCCTGCTGCTTTAAGTGCACTGGTGACAGGTTTGATGATGTTGTTAGCCCGTTTTCTTGGTGTATTGTTGGAGAGTTCAGCCACTCACAGGTGAGAGCTGCAGAGAGTCTGCACACGGCTAAGAGGATGCTGATGTTTCTAAAGGATTATGGAAATTGGATTTAAATTGGAACATGTTTTTTAATTTTGGTACAGTCCTGGTTTAAAATAGTTTTTCTCCCATGAATATCAAATCTCCAGGTCTGCACATGCTCCGACACCAGAAGGACAGTTTCCTTATTTGAGATTTCTTTAACATGTCTGAAACAAGCTTCAGTGAATCAGGCGATTGCTCAGCTCAGCCTTCTAAATACTAAAGGGCTTGAGATCCACGCTTTAGCACAGAAAACTGAAAATACAGGACAGAGACAAAGAGACCAGAGAAACAAAGTGAGTGCTTACAATTCTGTTGGGACATGGAGGGACAAGATCCTTGAACACATTCTGTCAAATAATTGAATTCCAGAGGGAATAAAATAATATTTGTAGAGGTAAATGGACTTCAGATTGTATATTTATTTTCTAGTCTTCTGACTACTCAACGTGTTTTTACTCCAAACTCATGAAGGTTATCTATTCTTACACTTTAATACAACAGACAGGACAAACGTCTGAAAATGTATGGTTTAAATTAAGGCACCCAAAGTTAAAGTTAAAAACAGATCAATGTTCAGGTTTCAATAAGTACGCTGTTATCATAGAAGTCAGTGCTGACGTACTTTGTTCATAGGACAGGAACTCTGGTCCTATGGGTGCAGGTTCATCACTTTATTCATCTCCCTGACTACATCACCTGACTTTAGCCTTCTCTGCTACATAATGACAGCCAGAGCTAACTGCCTACCCATGAACTATTCTATGGCTCTCAAAAGCTTTTGTATGATCAATATCGGTCGTATTAAATTAATTATACACAATAATTAAACACAAAGACAGAAGGAAGGAGTGTCGATCAATCTCTGTCATTTCCCCTCAGGTAATGTGAGCATGTCAGTAACGTTAGTGTTATAACTGTGAAAAACGAGTCCACAGATTCATCTCCAGTAGATTAGACAACTGTGAAGCTCTGCATGCTGAACTGGCTGAAAAGTCAATAGTAAAGGCTCCAGCTCATACAGAGTGTACAGAGACGTCAATATCTGCATCTGTGGCTGATGAAAATGGACTTAGATACAAGGAATAACCAGGGACTGTATATAATGATACAGTCTATCATAATGATTTCAGAGAGATTGATAGGAGCTTCTTCCTTTGTCTTTGTGTGCCTACAATCTGTCCCTCTGGCCCCTGCCTTCAGTAGCTCCTCCTATTCTTTACGTCTCTCCTCTTTAAAGTGAGACTGAGGGTGTGCCAGCCTCAAAGTCATTTTGGCTTGAAATGATGGTAATACCTGTAAAACTCTCAAACACTTCCTGGTGACACGGTCGACCCTGATAAGGAAACTAAGATACCACGGAAACATACTGCGGCTCCGTCCATGTTATCTATATTTTGATTAGAGCTCTATTTCTTCAGTCTGGCCCGGTCCTGCCAGTTGAATCACTCTGAATAAGTGCTTCACAACTGACTTTACTTCTGCCTCATGAGCAGCTCTGCCTCTGAGAAATACTGAGAACACCGAAACATCCCGAGTTCAAAGAAGAGCTTTCAGCACTTTTTGGACTTTTTCTTTGCCTTCACGGCAGCAAGAATGCTCAACTTTGGTAAAAAAAATACTTCAATCAGGAGAGACAAGCTAATAAAGAACTATTTATTACGATGGATAACAGGAGGACTTTGGCGCTAGTCTGGGTAGCAACAGAATAAATCCCCCAAGGAGTCAAGACCCTGGTGGGGAAGTCCATGACTTCCTGAGACTGGATGGGTCAGGAATTGAGAGATGATGCTTCTATAAAGACTGGTGTTGGGACGTGGAGGGTGCACACGAAACATCAGCAGGAAGGAGCAAAAGGCAGAGAAAGATTCATACATAAAAGGGAGCAGAATGATGACATCATCAGTCTGTTAACAGAGACTACAGTCTGGAGTGTAGGTCACACTATTCTCTGATAAACTGATTTACATTACAACTAATGATCGATTGAAGTTTATGTTTCAAGTCTCTCCACCTCTGTGTGTAAAGTTTCAAGTCTCTCCATGTGTGTAAAGTTTCAAGTCTCTCCACCTTTGTGTGTAAAGTTTCAAGTCTCTCCATGTGTGTAAAGTTTCAAGTCTCTCCACCTTTGTGTGTAAAGTTTCAAGTCTCTCCATGTGTGTAAAGTTTCAAGTCTCTCCATCTCTGTGTATAAAGTTACAAAATGTTATAAACCTGTTCTTACCTTATATGGACAAAACAAACAAAACAACCATTGATCCTTCGACATTGGCCAAATCGTGGAGCTTTGTGAAGTGCACAAAACTCCAGTCCCTCTGTGACCTGACTGCGATCTGACCTCTTGCTCTGTCCCACTTTTCTTTTTTAGATTTAAAAATACATACAAGCAGAAAAACAAGAGATTCTCAGTTTTATAAATCCAGAAAATGAATGTCAGAACAGATAACATGCACCAAATGTAATGAGAGATTTAAACAGTGGCAGAGGAGGTGCCGGATCTCTTTCCGGTAGGATCCGGCACAAAATAAGCCCTGCTCGATCTGTATACCTGCACACATGTAACGCAACATTTTGTACAGATTTAAAATCTGTTGTTTCTCTCTTAAATAACTTTTGGAGTTTTTTCTTGTTATATGAAAAAAATGGTTAATTACAAACTACATATAATCACAATCAGAGACTGTTTTAACAACTCGTGCTCACTCGTGAATTCACAGTTTTATGTTAGCGAGATGTATCTGGAGGTAAAGTGTAAATGATGCAATGAATATATATATATATATATAATGTTTCTTTTCTCATCCTTCTTCATAGTCAGTAGTGGAGTTTAAATCTTTCAGTGATTACTTGCATGAGGAAAACAGGATAGTGCTGAGCATATTTGACAGTTGTAAAGTCGGAGTCATTTCTCTTCCTCTGAGCCAAAAGCTTTTCCAGGAATTAGTCAAAGTCACAGTGTGTAAACTTCTTGCTTGAGGTAAACAGAAAGGATTTCATTTTTTGTGAGAAACCGGTGATGTGTATTTTTAAACCACGTCCTTGTTGAAATATCATAAAGCATTGTATGGATTAAAGCAGCTCTGAAATATAATCATGTCATATGTTCTTGAGACTTAAAGTCAGCCACCTACAATGGCTGCAAATATCACAGGACGCAAACATTTTACATAAGATGCTTTGAGAATGGCCATTGTTTCTTTGACTAATTCAGTCCGTCTGTGAATATTTGAGAGGATTCTCTCAGGCTTAGCGCAGGAACCTCTAATCCGCCTTAAATCAGTTACACCATATTGGCTGGCTGGCTCTGGCGCTGCTGTTTACTGTGCCTCGCCAAGACAAAGTAAAAAAA